TTTTAAGTAAAAAAAATTGAAAAAATTTCGAAAATTAGCGATTTTTAAATTTGTAATTTTTTTGGAGGTTTCCCCCTTTTACGGGGAACGAGGGAATTTTTTTCAATTTTTAAGGGTAATGTCTTCGACTAGATACGATTTGTGATCTTTTGACGTATCATTGAAAGAAATCGGCTCGGTGAGAACTGAGAAAAAGTGGTAACAGACACACAAAAAAAAAACACATCATAGTAAAATTAATACATTCTCAGCATCGCATCGAAGCTAAATAATGATTGTTAGTTTCTCCTGAAATAACAATGGATTTTTACAATTATAATCAAATTTTATAATACACTCAATGGAGTAAATCTTTTTAACAATTTTGTTTTGATTGGTCCATTTAGTTAAAGTAAATCATTAAAATTAATGAAATTCTGAATATTTCAATTGCAGAATCTTTTTAAACACCAAAAGTTATTAGGAAATAATTACTATTACTTCTATTTAAGTTATCTATTACGATAAAAATGCAAAAAAATATTGAGCTATTCTGGTAAATGTACTATAAATAGTATTTATAAAACTTCCTATATACATATTAATCTTAACGATACATTTTTTTTAATTCTCCTAAAATTTTCTATTTAATGATGTCAATTTCAAACTTGCCAATTGAGTTATGATAAAATAAATAAATTTTTTTTTATTATAAACATTCACAAAAATCAACTTTAAACGATTTAAAAAATAGGCTAAATATGTCATTTTCCTTATTTTTAACAAATTAATAATCAAAATCAGTATTAATTTAAAACAATTTTTTTTTGTTCTTAATCACTTTTTTTTATATGTAAATACTTATTTTTTAATAATAAGTAATAATATTAAAACTTAGAAGTAATAGAAAAAGTTTAATTGCACATTTGAAAACATCGCGAAAAGTTGATTTAGAAAAGAATATTTTAGTTTCTGATGAAGTTCCTAGTAGTCTAGTGTATTTATTCATAAGTAACAAATTTTTTTTATCAATTCAGTATTGCATCAATCCCTTTAAATTTTTATACGCGTTAAAGGTATATGAATATACAACTCCTTTTATTTTTATATCTCCGTAAAAATTACAATATTATATTATTGAATATCAATTTCATATTAAATTTAATTACTATAATTGTTATGTATTCATATATTATAATTATAAATTGGGATAAAATTAAGGGAATAAGAGTTATGGTGGCTTTTGAAATAATCTACCAATCTCTTAAAATTAAACACTATCTACAGATTTGCATCGAAGCGTTTCTAATGATAGTGATTTTAATCACTATCAGATTTCATTATACTTGACCCAAATATGCCTCGTCCACACTGTGCCGCGACCCCACTGTACTACCGTTTTTTTTTTCTAATAGTGTTGTAGATGGAATAATTTTTCAATATATGGATATATACTTGGAGTATATATTTATTTTGTAAACTATATTTTCGACATATATAAATGTATTTAGTGAAAATTACATTAAAAAATTAAACACAAATAATTTTTTGGACCGCTGTTTACACACAAATACAGAAATATCATATATTAATATATAACTTAAATAAAATATATTATATCAAAGTATAAATTTAACTATAAATTAAAATAATTTAATATTTTAAAATATTATTGAGGTACAAAAATTTTATAAATAAATTAAAGTTTTATATATACGAAAATTTGACAAAAGTAGTCATATTAAATTTTAATTACTTGGAAAGAACATTTCCGTCACTTTAATTTACATTGACCTATATTTCTTATGAATAATTAATACAACTACTTATATACTAGACGCGTCCTACAACAAAACCAACAAATAAATATCATTAGTATTCTTATGGTCAGGTAGTTTTATGGAATGTGGTTATTAACTGGTCATCGAGGTTATTGACACATAAATCTGTCATTTCCTTAAAAACTTGAGATTATTTTTTTTGTTTTAATAATAATTTTGGTAACTAAAGCTGAGTTTTATTCATCTACTAAGTTCTAATTAAATTAAGTGAATTATAATGCATGCAAATAATATAGCTGTTATATCCAAAAATTATTATTCGCTTTAAATTAAATGATAATAATAAAAATGTCGTGGCATCAATGTTTTACCAGCTATTAAAATATTTAGTATCAATATATATATAATATATGACAATATACTATATGAAACATAATAACAAGAAAAAGATAATTTAAATACATTTTCTAATTAAAATGGAGTCCATTCAATGGACATTACGATACAAGTGCAATTAGTACTCGAGCACAAAATTTTTACTTTTATAATTTACTATTAATGAAAAATTGATTTATATTAACAAAATTTTATTATTTTTAAAATATATGTCATTATTAAAGCGTTAAGAACATAAACTCATTTTAATACATTTTGAAGAAAAATATAAAAAATATTTGAATTTTCTATACAGACTAAAATAATTGCAAATTTTTAAAATGCAATATGCAAAAAATGTGTTAAATTTAAAATATTAATTTTAAAGTCAAATTTGTTTTATTCAAATTTTATATTATCACTAAATATGTATGTTACGGGTAATGTATACATGAGCGAAGCATTGTACTACTGCCCAAAATGAACGGGCAATGCAACTGAAACTCAACTTAAACCGGTAAATATATTATTGCCCGGCGTAAAACAGGCAATCTGCATCTTATTATAATTTTTAGGTATTGTTTTATACTGAATTTCTGTAGATTTAAAAAACTAACAAAATTCTTCCTTGACAAAGCCTAAAAACGTTTGTTCTTAAAATACTTCTTCTTTGGGTTGACCACTAAAATGGATGAACCACTAATACCAGCAAGAACAGAGCAAAGATGTTAAGTTTGACTAGCCAGTCCTAGAATATTCTTGGACTTACTTATGATAAGTTGGTTGGTTTATAATAATAAAATACAAAGAAGTCGAATTCGCTCTACTAAAAGAATTCTATACCTTTATTACAAGTCTCCTACATTTGAGTAATGCTACAAACACAACAAAAGATGGACTTTCAAATAGTTTGGATTGGATTTTAAATTATTAGTTAAAAACAATGAAAAATTAAAACGATTTGTATTCTCAAACAAAAACGATAGAAATTCAATAATATACAATTAAAACATATATATGAAAATGTATTTTAAAACAACCTAATTAGAATTAGAAACAAAATTTCTTTGTAAATTTTGGTCACTTGGAAATATTTATAAATCAGGAATTTTATATTCAAAGCAATTATTTTTTTTTATTTAGCCATATTATTATATACTACTATAGTGATATCAATGATTTGCCTATATTGACCAAATTTACTCGAAAAACACCATAATACCCGGTCAAAGTGATCTTAGTAAGTTAATATACTACATCAATCAAATTACGAGAACAAAGTATACAGGGTGTTCATTAAGCGAGGAAAGTGGTTTCTATTGTTCTCATTGTGTATAACAATTGACCTGTTCCTTACTTACTAAACAGCCTGTATTTACATACTAGAAGAAAATGATCTTTAACAAATGAAAATATTAAAATTAATATTAGTTTTGTAACTAGACGAATTTTTTTTTAGAATGCGCTTAAGTATTTTTATTTTTAAGGGGTGTCAGCATACTTAATTAAGCATACTGGCATCCTTATATTTTATCGTTAATAAATCGAAGTTGATTTTTAACAGTTTTACTTAATAGAAAAATATTTTTAAAAGTTGATTTTACAGCAAATCAATATAAAATAATTTCTAAAAATAATGAGAATCCAGTAATATTAATATTTATAATTATTAATTTTATGTCAAACTATCTAAGAAACTACTTACAAAATAAAATAAAATAATTTCCTATTTTATTGTTACTTGAATTTTTTCTAAAATTAAATATCAATGGATCATGAATTAATTATATTTACAGGTTCAATTAAAAGGTATCAAATAAAAAATTGAATTTGTTCCAATGCTGTGTTCAACAAAAACTATACAGGCGTGGCTTAATACTAATTATTGAGAACAGATCACAGCACAGTACCTACCGGTTTTTGTTGACATTAATAAACTCCCTGTAAGTAAGGTTTATCCTCTTTTGTAGCTCATAATGAACAGTCCAACGATATCTAATTGTGTTCTTGCTTTACTAATTGTAATAAAATTAGCCTATGGCAATAATGTAAACTTAAATGAAGAAACTAATGTACAAGAAAAAATTACCTATAATGGTGACCAAGTTTTAAGAGTAGAACAAGTAAATTCAAAACAGAGAAAAACTATTAAAGATCTCGAAAATAGGGGTCGTAAGTATATACAATTTTTATATAAATATTCAAATTTATTATATATTATGCGTTAAAAAAAATTGCTATGTATTTAATTTTTAATTTAAAAAACTTAAAAACATTTAATAAGTTCAACACAATTTTACTTTATATATTTTAATTATGTGAAAAGTTATTACAGTTATTTAATTGAAGATAATTAGAAAATATTACTCATTCTTGCCCTTTTATCTACTACTGTCATTAAAAAAACTTTTTTTAGTACTACAAAAATGGTATTCTACTCCGACATCAGTAGATGTAATGATAAAAAACGAAAACAAGAATATTGTTAAAAGTGTATTAAACAATGGATCATTATCGTTTGATTTATTCATTGATGATGTACAACGAGCTATAGATGAAGAAAATCTTCCTGTGACGATAAATGACGAACAATTGGGAAGAAGAGGTAATCATTTTATTTAAGAGAAAATCACAACGGATTGATAATCTTGGAAATAATATAAGCGAATAGACTTTTAATGTTTTTTTTTACTAGTTGGCTATTATTACCCTTTTAGACTACGTGCACATTACATTGAACTAAATTTTAGTTCATACTGTAAGTTATAAAACAGTTGAAAAAGCAGTCAATAATAAAATATTGACATTTTTTGAAATATAATAACAAAAAAATTCTATTGATATATCACACACTAGGACCTAAAAAATTCTATTTATAAAAATGTAATTTTTTAAATAAGCAAATTTAAATGTAATTGAATTTTTTTCTGCTTAAATTATTCGATTTAGATGTACAAATAATCCAAAAATTTTAAATTAAATCAGAATTTATATTATATCATCAGCTGCTAATTAAGAAAGAATTTTGTAATCAAATAATATTGATAAAACTAAACTTGGAACCAAATAGTTCTAGAGGAAAAATCTTTTAGCTCATAAAATAAAATAAAATAAAAACTATTATTTTTTATCGAAAAAAAAAAATTATTTTATGACAAAAAATTATTTGTTCCTTATAAAATAATTTTTGACTTAGTTAAAATCTTTTTACTCTAAAATTTAAAAAATTAAATAAAGTTCCATCTAAAGTTTTCCATTTTAAAGTTTATAATAACTTATTGGCACTAAATAACTCGTGTTCAATGCTATACTGATTACAAAAAAACGCGGTAAAGTTCATAATCTAAATAACGAAAAAAATCATATAGAACTTTTTAGATCCAAAACCGCAGTATAGATTCTATTAAACTAGTTATTCAGCAAACTAACAAAAAAAATTATTTTCTTACTGAAAAATCACATTGAAATTATTTTATGTAATTTTATAGTAATCTTTTTGCTTGATTTTATAGCATTCTGAAAGGGTTGATATAAAATCTAACAACTTAATCGACGTTTAAAAAAAAGGCAAAATGTTTTTTTATCAATGCAATTTATACACATATTTTGTGTAACCAATTTCTATTGATTCGGTCGTACAATTCAAACATTTTAAGCGAGTTTTAAATATAAAATTTAATAATCATTAAAAGATTTTAAGTATAATAAGGACCATCTTAACAATTTAATTATTTTGTGACCATAATTGATATCATTTGACATCCATAGCGATTGTATTTAATATATTTATGTAAACTTTTCCAATATTTCAAATGTTGTGACAAAAATTTTTAAAACTAAATTCAATATATTCAAGAGTGATTTTATTAAGTATTCAGTGACATGTCTTTTTTAAACTAAAACCGGGATATCCTGGTTTTAACCTAATAGCTCCTCGTAGATACACCTTTGTATAAAGTCACCACTTATTATATACAATTTTAAAATTTCCTGCATTTTATCACAGAAAGTCGTCAAGCGTTGTTCATTTTACATTGTTAACACATTATTTTACCTAACATTAAACTCTAGAAGAACGATATTTGATTGATATCTACACCAAACAAGAATGGGTTGGGTTTTCAATCAAATTTTTTTTACTATAAACATTCACAAAATAAACATTAAATCTAACTTATTTTTTTATTTTTGGCAATTGACGGATTTTTGAAATTGAAAATCACTTTTTTTAGAACACAACGTGACATTTGAAAACTATCATACGCTTAAAGATATTTATCATTACATTGATTACATATCACAAGAATATCCTAACATTGTGGAAATAGAAAATATTGGTCAATCATTCGAAGGCACTCCATTAAGAGTTGTGCGAATTAAATTAGACAAAAATTCATCTACTACAAATGCTATCTGGATAGACGGAGGAATACACGCTAGAGAATGGATATCTGTCTCTTCAGTATTATATCTTATCAATGAACTTGTTTACAACCAAGATTTATTGAAAACTTACATGAAAAATATAGAATTTCATATTCTTCCAATAGTAAATCCAGATGGGTTAGTTCTACACTTAATCAAATAATTTTTTTACTAATTTAAAACAAATCTATTTAATTTAAACATTTAAAATAAGCTAATATTTAATTCATAAAACTCAATGTTACTTTCATTTTATGTATTATACTATCTCTTAAAATAATTTTGTTCGAATTTAAATTTAATGACAAACCGTTATCGATCGTTTTCACTCGACATTGGCATTAACTTAAGTTAGAAAACAATTACTGTTTATTTTTTATTATACTTAAAAAGTCATTGTATTCCGTGCCTATTCTTATTTAATACAATGTTTTCAGCTCTCACTTTATTCAACAGTTAAACGAAGTTAAATGACAGTGGATACATTTTGATATTATTTTTCTTATACGAAGTTGTTTTGTTTATTTTCTCACAAGCTCCATAATATATAATATTAAATAAATTATAATTAACATTTTAATCATTAATAATTTTCAAAACAACTTTTAGATAAAACTATGTAACTATTCGAAACCTTGTTTCTAAAAATATTAAACACATTGCATTTTATAATTAAAATTTTTTCTTGATCATTTCAGTATTATTTATAGAATATAATATCTTGTTTTAATTGCGTGTTATTTTTATTCAATATAAGTGAAAATAAAAAAAATTAATGAATTTCTATAGGTATCTTATTGGTAAAACAATTGACACACAACTTATGGGAGAATCCCATGTAGTTTGTTTAGCATTACTTGCCTCGTATGCACTAATTCTATTATCAATGAAAATAAACATAAAAAAGTTCATTAGTAACAAATTTAAAAATAACGTTTTACATAAATATAGATATGTCTACTCACACCAAAAAGAGCGCTTATGGCGTAAAAATCGTAATAAACATCCAGGAAGTAGTTGTTTTGGAACAGATTTAAATCGTAATTGGGCATATCATTGGGGTGAATCTGGCGCTAGCAAATACAAATGCGCAGAAATTTTTAGGGGAGCAAAAGCAGGATCTGAACCAGAGACTCAAGCAATTGTTCAGTATATCATGAAAGATCCTAGTAAATTCAAAGTAATATTTTTAAACAAGTAGTAATTTTTATTTCATTTATTTTTTATTTGTTTGTTTTAAGGGATTTTTAACGTTCCACAGTTATGGACAGTATATATTATATCCATGGGGATATGCTAGAAGAGTACCATCTGATCATATTGATTTACAAAGAGTGGGACAGGCTATGGCCGCAGCAATAAAAGAGGCAACATCATTTGAGTATACTGTTGGAAATAGTGCATCACTTTTATACCCAGCAGCAGGTAAGTAACATATTATTAAACCCTTATTTAATTTACTCAATTACTTAATAATTTAAAAAGAATAATTAAAAAATTTGTTTTTAATTTTAATCTAACATAAGTTGAAATTTTGTTGATATTTAATATTTATTCATATAATATAAAAAAAAATACTAAAAAGTAAATGTAATTTCTAAGTAATTTTAATTAAATAAAAGTATTTGTTAAATATTTTCAACCAAGTAATATCAATTTAGGCAATGTTCCTCATTTTTATATAACGAAAAAAAAGTTAATTTTTTTATTTATATATGTTTGTTACGGCATAAGTTCAATTTTACTATCGTACCGAGTACAAACATGACAAACTATTTGGTTTATCTAGTTTTTCAAATTTAGTTTGGCGCATAATCAATATATTCTCAGCTTTGTGTTGAAGCTTTTAAAAAAATGTACATCTAAAATTATAATAAAGTTGTATGTAATTTACAATAAATGTATATAACCCTACGATTTTTTCTGTAAATGCTACACTTTCAATGAAAATTTTAGGAGCATCTGACGATTGGGCAAAAGGCGTCGCAAAAATAAAATATGCTTATACATTTGAACTTAGAGATACAGGAAAAAATGGATTCATATTACCAGCATCACATATTGTACCTACTGGAAAAGAAGCAATAATAGCAGCCACCATATTAGCTGAAGAAATAAGTTTAGAAAACTCTATTACTACTTAGTATTATAAAATCACCCAATAATAATTAAACTGAAAAACTCGATTAAATTTATTATTTATTTTCCTTTAAAACTAAATAATCAAATTAGCCAAGTATTTTTATTAGCAATATTGATTAAATTGTGTATTTTTATATTTGTTAATAAAAACATTACTACTGAAGTAAAACGAATTTATTTAAATAATTTTCATTGTACTAACAATTATTGTGTATATCCTTATATTACAACCCAGACAATTGGGTTTGAGATTAAGTAGGTAATGAATTTAATAATTTTAAGTTACAATGATAAAAACAGCAGCTCACTTAATGTCGACTAACATCATCACAATATCCTCAATTCTCCGAACAAGCTGCTAATATAAAACTACAATTTTCGACAAATTACAATGATATGATCTATCATTTAGTGTTAGCATTATTTTCACTGTGATGATGATATTAAATATTTTCAATTTTTCAGACAAACTTAGAAAAATAACAATAAATTCGTTCTTTTCGCCAGGAAATCTATAATCGTTCTTTGTTTTAAAATCATATAATATTCAAACAAATCACTTTATTCCAAATAACAAACATGTTTACAACTACTACACTTTGCCAAATTGAAACAAACTCCAATGAGAAATCGGTATTTAAATAAAAATTGTCATTTGTGTAAAAAGTGAAAAAAAACTCTTTAATAAATTGATATAAAATGTACATCTATATTATAAGGTATTTTATTATTTACTTCTAATTTTTTGTAGCAACATTATTGCCACAAAAAATAAAAATAACTATTTAAAAATTTCATTTATTCCACGACGGTGGAGATATATAATCAAAAAAGTGTTTAGAAAATGTTAAGTGTTATCTAAAATCTTCATCATGATAATACTATTGCAAAGTTGATACCGGTTATGGAATTAATGTTTTATGATAACTTATATTTTATTAACGTTTATAGTTCAAAAAATTTGTGTAAGTTCAACCTAAGATATACCCACTTGATAATTAATATTCTAATATTTAATTCAAAATAAATTTGTATTAATTTGCTTATATAGAAAATAACACTCTTTTTAACATGGCTTCAACTTCTGGATCTGAAGATCCTACTGAAAATTTAAAAAAAGAGCCTTCGAAAGGTATTCTAAAACCTTCAGTTAGTTATGAAGAAAAGGAGTAAGTTATTCGCTGCTACTCCCTTTGAACTTTAATGATTATTTATATAAGTAATATATCTTGTCAACAAATCTTAAAATTGAATGTGTTTGAATGAAAAGGATCAATTATGGTCATGTTAGTCTTACAATTGATGTCTGAGAATTCATTAATATCGTAACTATTCTAAATTTTAAACATCCTAAATTCATCAAGCTCTGTTATATACTTTTATATGCATTTACTTTATTTCTTAATGAATATTTTTTTTTAATTTTTTTTTATAAAATTTGCTATAAAAAAAGATTTTTCTAAATATGTTTTAAAATAAATTGTAACTACAAGTATAACATATTAAAAAATAAATTACCTTTTTTTTACTTCTTATAAGTTATATTTTTTGGGTATTATTGAATTATTTTCTATTTTTATTTTCAACTTAAGAAAAACAAAGAAAGCTGCCCACAAATCTGCAAAATGGGATGAGATGAATATATTGAAAACATTACATCCAGCTGATAAAGACTATGGTCATATGAAAGTTGATGAACCTAAAACACCATTTGAAAGAGAAATTGATGATGAAGATGATGAAATGGATGGTGGAGTTAATGCTGACGATTTAAGAAAACGGTGTTTTAAAATTAACTTCTCATACTATTACTTTTCATTTTTCTAATATTATAAAAAAAAATTTATGACTTAAGTTGTATATTTATCTATTCTTATTTTAAATTGTGTCATACACCTCATAAATTGCTCAGTTCTAATATTGAACACATAATATAAAAAAAAAAGTCTAATACCCTTGTAATTCACATTTTTCTTTAGTTTCATAATTATGTTTTTATTTTTTTAAATTTGCAAGTTTTATTCACTACTTTGAATTATTCCTTTTCATTTTTTAATAGAATTGAACAAACTAAACAAAGAAGAAGTAGTGGAAGCAGTACATTTCAGTCAGAAGACGATTCAGATAATGAAACTCCAGAATCTAAATGTAAGATTTTTTATCTTATATTAGTTATGACTAAAATATTATTATAAATAAAAAAACCTTTGAATAAATTACTAAAAGAAGCTAAATTTTTTAAATTTATTTAATTACTTTAATACTTTAATCTTTTATAATTGAAAAATAATCCTTATTTACTTATAATAAAATTACTGTGTATATTTTTTAAAATTATTGTTGCTTGGTTTTTATCAATAATTTTTTTATTAAGGAAATAGTTTTTTCTTGTTAATATTTTAAAATTGGTTAGTATTTCATATAGTTACTCTGTATTAGCTGGGAAAAAATTGAATGTTGTGACCCATATAACCATATCCATGATCAATAGCAATATTTTTCACCAATCCATTTTCATCAATATAAGTAGGGAAAATCCTGGTGTCCTGATGGACCTATCTTTCTTAGTCTGTATCATTAATTAGTTAATATAATTTCATCTTAACCTTTTTTTTTTTTTTATCTTAGCTTAATATTTATTTTCACAGTAGCTAAAGAAATATTTGAAAAGAAGCGTAAAGAACATTACAATGAATTTAAAGCCGCTAAAATGGCTAAACAAATGATGGAAGAAGAAGATGATGATGAAGATAATAACGACGAAAATAAGCAAAATGATTCTAGTCTAGTATAAGACTTAAATTTTTAATACTGAGAATTACAAATAAAGTTATGGAGTCTTCTAACTTATAATTTTTGCACAATTTTTTACTTCAATTATTGTTATGTATTATGAATAATTGTGTAATAACTTATTCTTTGATATTTGTTTATACATTTGAGTATTAGGAAATATTCTATCGAATTTACTTATTTATTTTCTCAGATTTGTACAGTATTAATCAAGCAGATAGAATAAAGTAACCTTATCAGTCAAAATTTAAAATAAAGCGTATTTATTTATTTTATTTTATCCAGAACTCTAATGAATAATGTAGTAATTAACCAAAAGTAATTCATTTAAATGAAGAAAACCATGCAGTATAATATACTCCATTGTAGTAATTATTATATTTAACAATATAATTGTTAAATGTATTATTGTTACTAACAATAATTGTTAGTAACAATAAGTTATTTCAGTTTTTTTTTGTTTGTGAGAAAATTGCTGACAACTGTTTATCTTTTGATACAGTTGAAATTTCACTGTAATTTTTTTAAATAATTTATGCAATCTTAGCTATTGTTAAAATCATATTTTATCATCAATTTGAAGCTGAGAAAGTGTTGATAATGTTTTTTTACGATTGTCCATGTATATTCATAGCTACCACCTTTTTTATGATAGTGATATTAATCACTTTCAAATATCATTTATACTTGATCCAACTATGCCACATCTCAGGGCAGCAATTACTGAAGATGCTAGGCTCTATCACCATCAATTTACTTTAATACCTATAGTGTCAAGTAAATAGTTTTATTTATAAACATTAGTTTATCATACATTATACTACTATTGTAGCACATAAAACCGATATTTTGAATTACTGGGACATTTCCATCTTATGCTACCAATCAACTAGATCCTTAAGTCGGTAATGGAGCCATATTTAAACAACTATTTTAACAGATTTTCCATTAAAATAGAAATTGTTAATTGTCATTTTGGTATTTTTTATATCCACTTGTCATTCCTTATCTGTACTCATCCTTTAACCTATGTATAAAAATGTCAATTATAGAAAAGTCTATTAGTTTATTAAATTCTGATGACCTATATGTTAATGCGGATGATTGAGTAGAGTGAGGAGCTGATCCCCCAACGGTTTTTTGACTCTTACACTATTTTAGCACTTTCTGGATTTTTTCTCTAGTTGCACTATTGCCACGTCCCCACGGTGATGTGTATTTTTATTAGTTTTTTTTATTATAAACAAAAAGTTTTACAAAAAAACGTATTTCAAAAATTTGCTATGAAAAATGCACTAAAAAAAGTAAAATAAATTGGATTAAAATTTGATATATAAAATTAATTTTATTTTAAGTCTAATATGATTTATTTTATTGAATTTTTCATATTTTGAAATAGATCTTTTTTTTACATTTTAGTGCAATTTTTTAATTATAAAATTATAACTTAATGATGAAGCCAAAAGATAGTTAATTCATTCAAGTCTATTCTAGTGGCCATAAACACCATCAAAAATCCAAGAAAGCAAAATCGCAATTTTTTGGATGACAATTTTTTTAAGTTATTATGATTTAAAAACCAAACTACTGAACTCTTTTTAAATGAGTTTGGTTTGTATATTTTTAATTATTTAGGTTTAAAAATCAAACCACTGAACCGATTGTAAAGAAATTTTTATGGGACTAATCTGAAAACAAATCCTTAAAAAAATAATATTAAATAGATAAAAATGATGGAGTTCAGAGGTAACTAACATAAAAATACAATCAAATTGAAAATGTTTTCTGAGAAAATGAGTTTTACATTTATTTTCTTTAATATTGGATAATACACCCAATATTGATCTCCTGTTTTCTTTGATTATACTTCCTTATCAATAACTTTAAATAGGTCGAATTGACAAGTTTATAAAATAAAAACTAAAAATAGCATTTCTAGGTTTTATTTTATTCCAGTTTTAGAAAGTAATATTGTTTTAATTAAGGATCATTTAAGTTACTTAACTGCCTCTAAATTCATAACACATATCATAACCCGATAACTTAAGTCGATATAATATTTATTAAAGCTAAGAAATTAGGCTTTTTTTTCGTTGTATTTCATTCTCCACGTTTTAAACTTTCATAAAATCAATTATTATTCAATTTTTGGCAATAATTACAAAAATAAGTGACTGTTAAGTTCGCACTAGTTCAAAAATAAAAAATATACGTTTTCTCAAGAAAAAATAGGATAACTTTAATTCATGTTTGAAGTCAATAGCCTCTAAATACTTACGAAAGATCTCTCGCACTACTACCACTAATAACTTATTTTTTGTTGGGTAGTGTCATTGCTTAATTACTAATTATTAATCAATTCAAAAACTAGACGTGATGGAAAAAACTGAAGCAAAATTAGGAAACAACGTCAAAATTCACAAAAACGTTTCACCTAAATATTATTAACAACAAAAAATTGTTATTATTTGTGGACTTATATAATTCACTTTTAAAATAAATAAATCCATAAACAATTTTACTTATCACAAATAAAAAGGGATTTTAAGTTGAAATGCTCTTTTAAAAATATGAGCATACATATATCATCAACAATATTAAAATTAATAAATTTGATAAATGTTTTGGTACTAATGATATTTATTTTATTTTTACCGATATATTTTATTGAAAATAATTTATCTTATCATAAATAGTTCATACCGTTGGCTACTCTGATATTCATGTGATTTGATCAGTTCAAGGCCACATAGAAAATGAAAACAATCTGAATTAAGAAAGTACATCACGTATAAACTTATAAATTTTTATTTATATCTTTTATGCACTATTTAAATTACTGTAACTTTTTAATTTCTCAATTAATTAAGTATATATATAATAGTTCATATCAATCATTACATATTACTATGTATTAAATCTCTTGATAATACTTGTATCAAAAATATATAATAGAAAAAATTAATCACGAATAGTCTTAAAATTCCAATTGTAATGTTATGTAAGTACATATTATGCAATAATTATACTAATAAACTGGAATTTTATACATATAGATAATGAAGTTTTAGATTTGTAATTATTTGCATCAATTATTATAAACAACAAAATTTCCTTGGGGCAAGTATCCAAATAATTTCTAAAATAAAATTCTATCGACTTAAAGATTTGAATTCATAGAAACTAACTTTTACAGAACCTTCCATAACACTTCTTTTTAAAATAATCTAAAAATGTGTTTGCTGTCCTACAGAATTCCCTCTTATATTAGTCTACCATATATTTTGATGAACAAGTGAAAGCTATAATTTTTGCAACATTTATAAGGATGACTTAAGAAAGAAATTTTAAGAAGAATGAAAAATTGCAATAATAGCATTTTATAAATTATTGATTTATTAATAATTTAAAATTTCTTTTTTTTAATTTTTCCAAAAAATGAATTTCTTATCTTTTTCGCCAATGTTAATACTTAGGAAATTATAATTTTCTACATAGATCTAAAAACATGTATACAATTTTTTAAGCAATAACTAGATTTTATTTATTAGATAGAAATATTTCCAACAATTTCTAGATTCTAATATAATCTCTAATACTATTAAAAAATGAACTCTAATTTCCCTCCAAAATTAAAAAATTAAATTGTGTTTAAATGTTGCAAAGTTAATTCTTTTTTTTTTTTTACATAGAAGTATAATTAAACGATGTTTCATTGAACAATACTTTAATAAGCAAAATTATTTTTCCATTTCTCATAAAACACTGAATAAAAATACAGCGATTGGCTTATCATAAACTACTTGATTACTCTCAATAAATATAATATTGGGAAAAAAAGGTTTGGTTCTTTTAGTATCGTATATTTCATGATTTTCAGCTATTAATTACTTTTAAAAACTTTGTAATGTAACCTTTATAAGAGTGTCAACTTAATTTTTTCAAATGGCAGAGTACATTGTTAACTAGCTGATTTAATAAATAATGATGTAATTAAGAAAATGTATGGTCAATAACAACTTTTGGACAAGTATTTCATTAACAATTTTAAGTAATTAAAGGTGATGAATGGGTACTGATATTTTTATCACTAGTAATTTCCCTGTCTTACTCCAAACTAGGTATAAAAATGAGAATAACATCCAATATACTGGTTCAAAAGTTGTTATCGCCCAATCATTTTCTTAATTAGATCATTATTTATTAAATAAACTAGTTAATTATTGTTGTTGCCATTTGATAAATTGAAGTTGACATCCCTATATGTTAAAAAGTATGATTTTTAAAAGTAATTTAAAGTTGAAAAATGTATAATATGTGTAACTAAAAAAACATTTTTTTCCAAAATTGTATTATTTTCAAGAGTAATCGAGTGGTTTATGTTAAACCAATCACTTTGTATATAAAAACAATAACAGTCATAGACATGAACTATAAAATTTAGGGAATACTTCAAAATTATTATTTTTCAGTATATGATTTCATTATGACTACCATTTCAAGACCAAAATTTTATTTTTAGGAATTTTGATTTATAAAATAATTATTAATAATATATATTAATTTATTTAATTAGTAATTAACTACTATATAAATAATTTAATAGTTATTATTTATTAAATAAAAAGTTCTACCAGAAATGTATAATATATTATTTTGTTATAGTAAGACCATTCGAAATGAAATTGAGTTTTTTTTAATAATGTCTGATCATCGAAAACTGTCAAGAATCACAATAATGCAAATGTTTCATGAACTTAAACAACAATTTCCAACTGTTCCAGATGAAGTAGTAAATGAATGCATTGTTAAAGTAAAATTTGTAAATACTGTTTTATTATTTGCTATAATATTTTACTTTTTCCCTTAGAATTCAGTTAATCGTGAGGCCTGTATAGCAAATTTAACTATAATTCAAAAAAATTATGTGCAACAAATGTATCCATCAGATATTGTTGATAAAATGGCAATTAGACCAAAATCATTGGAAATGCTATTAGACAACCATTCTTTAACTAATTTTTCAAATATAGATTTTAACACTAAAAATTGTCAATCTCCATCAATATCAGCACCAGCTACTCCTTCGCAACCAATCAATTGTGAACAAAGACATAAATCAAGTTTATCATTAGATTCTGTATCTTTAGTTGATATTCAATGTAGACCTTTTACGTCTGTCAGTTTAACTCTAAGAAAACCTTTTAAAGAACAACCTTTACCTCCTTTGGATCTGATTGCTAGTAGTAGATCAGAACTTACTTATACTGCTTGTTCATATGATCCATCTAATGATCCTAATAATTGTTATCAATCAAGATTACATATTAGTATTGACCCTGAAGGTGAAACAACTGTTACAACTTCAAGAATTATGATTTCGCCTACAGCTATTACATCTACTAATCGAACAACTGATACTCATCTTCCTGGAATAATTCACACTGATAACATTTCACCTAGAACTAAATGTAATACTATATTTAATTTATAATAGTGATTGTCAAACCGTTTGATTTTCAAAACAAACTTGGAGTGTTCGGTTTAGTTTGTAAATCAAACATAAAATTAAAAAATCAAACCTAACTTTTGAAAAATTAATATAATTAAATATGCTGAATTTGTTAAATTGTGATATAAAAATTATTTTACCTTAAAATTAATGTTTGGTTCGGGTTTGACTGAAAAATTGAAAGTTCGGTTCAGGTTCTGTTTAGCTCCAAAAATTAGGGTTTGTAACACCACTAATTTATGATCTAAAATACTATAATATTTTATTACTATATTGTTTTCTTTAGTGACAATAACTGCTCAAATAGAAAGAAAACAAAAACTGGCATCTGAATTAATTATTGAAAAAGAAAAATTAGAGATTATCAAAAAGAGTATAGCTTCATTAGAGGCAAATGTTTCTAATAAACACTCAAAATTAAAAAAGGTTTGAATTATTAATTGATATTATAGTTAAATATTAATTTTTAATACCTAATAAATTTGAAAAATAGTATTTTTAAAATTTAAACCTAAATAATTAAAAAAATCTTCAGAATAATACTACTTAATATATATCTACTATATTTTATATATGTTAAGGTTGAGCAATTAAGAAATGATGTGGAAATTCTAAAATTGGAATGTAATAGACTAACTTTAAAAGTTAATGAAGCAAAAGATAATACAGGTAAGATAAATATTTTTTTCTGGTACTATAACTTAAATTTAAAAAGGAAAATTAAAAATACATGTTTCTATATAGGAGAGTCATAAAGATATATCAAATAATAAGTCAATAACAATTTTATCAAGTATTTATCAAATTATAAGCATTTTAATACATTGAGTGTGTGTGAGTATAGTGTACATTAGAGCTTTGCATGGACATTAATTTTGAGGCCAACAATGCAGAAGATTATGCCCAACTCTTTGACCAGTTTACAAATTTTTGTCTCTTCCAGGCCCGGTCTATCAACTATATATTTTTAGCCCTTGACTCATTAGATTTTTTACCTAGCCTTGACCATCAGATTTTTACATTATATTATAATAATAACTATCCGAATAAACTGTAAATGTCCAGGTATTTAATAACAAAATAATCATAAGGTATTATTGCTAAAAATATAATTTTATCATAACAAATATTTTAAAATACCTAAAAAATTGTGTTAATAAGAATCGCACGAGTCCATTGTTCTTATTTTTTTTTGTATTGAGTTAGGATACTTTTGTATTTTTATAATTTTTGAATCTATTGGGATTTAGCATCTTTTAAACACCAAGGAATCTGATGTTGCTTAATTAATTATTCATCAATCACTTAGTAGCTTATTAGTCTGACAGTCTAAATTTTTATATCCACTCAGACTATCTTTTTTTAAGCTCAGTCAAACCTTGACCAATATAAATTCTATAGTCGTCCAAGGCTGGTTCCTTGGACAATTTTATTACAGACCTGGCTCATCTTTAGTCTAAAGCCTGACCACCGCAGCCAATGCAGAACTCTGGTATACATATACTCCGCCCAAATTACATAACCATTCTATATATTAAAATTCTTGTCAATTGTTAAGTATTTGTCCTAAAATTGTTATAGATCCATTAGAAATATTTGTAAAAAAAAAAGGCTAAAAAATTTAAAGAATATATATATATTTATTTATTTTTTTTTTTAATGATAAATTATATAAAATATGTTTTGAACATAGTCTATTAAAGCAATAATTATTTTCAAAAAATTTTGATAAATTGATAATTGGATCAAAAGTTATTGATCTTGTCATATTTTGTTCTTATGTATTTTTTTTTTTTCAAGTAATTAATATTAATAATTTGTTTTTAGAGTTATTCAAGATAATGTCTGAAATATTTCTAATTAAATTACTAAACTTCTACATTACTCTTAATTACTTTTATTAATACAAAAGAAAATTCTCTTTAAAATTTCCAAAAATAGTTTTTTAACATCCTCTCTACTAAGACATTGAATAATTGTGTAAGAAAGGATGAAAAAGACTATACAGCAGTATAATCTTATACTGTTATAGTCTTATAACAGTACATAATTGAAGGTTGGTACCTGTGTACTAAGGCACATTCTCCCAATTGAGCTAAACAATCCACTAATTTCTTTTGGTTTAGTAAAGTAAAAAGTAGTTCATAATGTAATTAATTATGCTCATTATGTTTTGAAGTATACAATTATTTTTTCATGTAAAGCTGAATTATTTGAAACAAATGAACAAATTTCTATGGAAAAAAATATATCTGTTGATGAATACCAAGGTAAAAAATATTATTTTATGTCATAATGTATAATTGATTTATTAATTTTTTTTTTTTTTAATTTAGAAAGACAAAATTGGGTTTGTCCTATGTGTACATTCCAGAATCATCCAATATTACCAAGATGTGAGCAGTGTGATATGGCTCGTTTTGATTTAGGTACAACATCAGTTGTGAACAACGTTATACCATTGTGTGCCAAATTAACCTCAAATTTAACCACCCAATGCTTAACATAATTTGACGCAGTGTGTTTTGGTGAGTTTGCTAAGCTAACAAAATTTTAACACAAATATTAAAAAAAATATCAATAAGTTAAATTAATAAATTATTTCCTAGTTAATTTTTAAGATAATTTTAATATTTTTGTATATTTTATTCAAATTTAGGTAAGCCTAAAACAAACTCAAAAAATATACATGTACAAATTACTCATTGTAGAGATCACCAAAGTATGTTGACAACTATACTTGATATTTTAATGTAATTTTACCATATTATATATTATAGGTTTTTTTTTTCAGAAAATACCACAAGTTTATATTGAAAAATGTTTGTTGTATTTGATTCTTTTATTGTTAATCACATTTCATTTTTTATTTGACACTATGTATCATGAAATCATGTGATAATATTATAAAATTATTTTTACTTAGATAATAAACATAAATTCAAGCTGGTTAATTAACAATGAAATAAATGAGTACAATTTTTATCTACAATGTGAAGGTCAGATAATATTTTACTTGACTGTTTTTTTATCCAATCACCATTAATTCCTAACTTCCCCTAAACCATTTTTGCTCAGCACACTCCCATTTTTAAAAATAGAATAATTCATTCAAAATTTCATCTATTAAGTACATTAAGTTTCTATATTTTTCAAAAATGGCTTAGACATATCTATTTCTTCAGATATTTTTTGAAAAATCCAATCATTTTATTACTTTTAAAAAGTATTTATTATTAAAAATTGCATATAATTATTTTTTTAAGATTATGAAATCCTGCATTGTTTAAACTTATTATAAATAAAAAGGATTTAATACTAACCAGCAGTTCCTTGTCAGGTTTGATCACAGAAAAATATATAATATTTTATTTTTATGTATTATTTAATTTTTAAATATCTAATTAATTAATATAGAGTATCTTTGCAAAAAAACGGTAGCACAGTGGGGTCGAGGCACAGTGTGGACGAGGCATAGATGGGACAAGTATAGATGATATCTGACAGTGATTAAAATCACTATCATAAGAAACGCTTCGATGCAAATCTGTAGATAGTGTTTCCTTTAGAGAAATTGGTGAAATATTTTAAAAGCAACATGAACTCTTATTTCTTTAATTATATCCTGATTAGTAGTTCTTTGATTTTAAAATATAATATATGAATAAATACTAATTATAGTTTTTAAATTTAGTATGAAATTGTGAGGCCAGCTATGATGTATGGTTCATAGTGTTGGGCGGTTGATAAGAAAGTAGAGCAGAGAATAAGTGTAGCAGAGATGAGAATGCTTAGTTGGATGAGTGGAGTGACTAGAGAAGATAGGATAAGGAACGAGCATATAAGAGGAAGTATAGGTGTTGCGTCAATCGTGGATAAGATGACAGAAAATAGACTTAGATTGTTTAGTCATGGTATGAGGAAAGAAGAATCGAAAGCTGTAAGAACAGTTATAGAAATGAATGTTGAAGGAAGAAGAGATAGAGGAAGACCAAAAAAGAGATGGAGGGATGCTATTGAATGCGATTTGAGGACAGCTGATGTGAGCGTAGAAGATGTGGGAGATCGTGTCAAGTGGAAGCTTAGGATAAGGGTGGCCGACCCCAAGTAGTTGGGATTAAGGCAAAGAAAAAGAAAAATATTACCAGATATTCCGGTGGCAATTGACATAATATGATTGTTATTTCGGAATGTACAATTTAGCGTTTAGTTGGGTTTAAATAATATAGCGTCAAATCAATTACCTACTCTATCGGTTGTATCTCAATATACACTACACTTTAATGATACAATAAATAAATAAACTCACACATACACACATATGCATTTATAACATTGTGTCTAATGTAAGTATAACATGATAAAAAGTAACCGTAAAATGAAAAAAATGGAATATAAATTTTATTACTCATATTAAATGTAATGTAACTCGAAAAATATTTGTTTAAATGAAAAAATATAAGATTATATTTTTATTTATAATTGTCTTTTAAACAACTTTTGTGCGAAACTTTTTTTTGTAAGTTAAATATTTTTTTTTGAGAAAATTAAGAAAGCTCATATTTTTGAACTTTTGCGAGGATTTAAAAAAAAAGCTCAATTCCAATCTTGAGGACTATTAGTATGTCATTATACATATTTTAATTCAACTTTTAAAAAAACAAAATTTTTTCCGCAATTTTTCCTTTGTTGACAGGCCTAGATGTCAATTTTAAACTTGTAATTGAGCTAAAAGTTATGGTAATATATTCAATTTATTTTACTATAAACTTTCATAAATCTTTATCAAAAATTTTTCATCAACTTTAAAGAACCAAAAAAATAGGTTAAAATTGAAAATTTGGACTGATTATTTTTAACATATTAAAAATCAAATCAGTAATAATTTGAAAACAAATTTTTTTTTCTTTTAATTATTATTTTATATATATAATTAGTAATAATATAAAAAATTAGAAGTGATAGAAATAGTCTACTTGCAGATTTGAAAACAACGCGAAAATTTGATTTAGAAAAGTATATTTTTGCTTCTGATGAAAGTTCCTTGTAGTCCAGTGCATTTTTTTATAGTAACAAACAGTTTTTATTGAAAATTATTGTATCAAGCCCTTTAAATTTTTATACACGTAAAAGTAAAGCAAAATATAACTTCTTTATTATTTTTATAATTTCTCCGTTTAAATTACAATATTAAATATCAATTTCATACTAAATTTAATAATTATAATTAGTATATATTCAAATATTATATTTTAAAATCAAAGAACTACTAATCATGATATAATTAAAGAAATAAGAGTTGATGTTGCTTTTGGAATAATCCACCAATTGCCTAATTAAAACAAAAAAAAAAAAAGTTTGTTGGGAATTTTTTCTGCTATTCTGCAAAATTACTCCTTCGTTGACTAGAATGAATCATTAAATAGAAAATTTTATGAGAATTAAAACAATGTTATTTTTAAGATTAATATGCAGTCAGAAAGTTTTATAATTATTATTTATTGTAAATTTATCAGAAAAACTCATTATTTTTTGCATTTTTATCGTAATAGAACACTTAAATAGAAATCATAGTAATCATTTCTAAGTAATTTTTGATATTTAAAAAGATTCTACTATTGAAATATCCAGAACTGAATTAATTTTAATGATTTACTTTAACTAAAAAAAAAAAAGTTAATATTTTGAATCCCTCTTGTGGGCAGGTAAAGGGTTAGATTTATAAAAAAAACCAAATGATAGATAAAGACATGCATCTAAATAAAAAAAAATATACTGATTTGGTCATTTTTGATAAAGTTATAACAATTAACAAAGTTATAAGTTTTATACACTGGACTACAAGGAACTTCCATCAGAAACAAAAATATACTATTCTAAATCAACTTTTCGCGATGTTTTAAAATGTGCAATTAGACTTTTTCTATAACTTCTAAGTTTTAATATTATTAAAAAATAGTTTTTACATATAAAAAAAAATAATTAAGAACAAAAAAAATTGTTTTAAATTAATACTGATTTGATATAATATTTAATATTAATTTGATTATTAATAAGTTAAAAATAAGGAAAATGACATATTTAACCTATTTTGTTAATCGTTTAAAGTTGATTGTTGTAAATGTTTATAATAAAAAAAAAAAATTTATTTTACCATAACTTTTAGCTCAATTGGTAAGTTTGACATTGACATAATTAAATAGAAAATTTTATGACAATTAAAAAAATTGTATCGTTAAGATCAATATGCAGTCAGAAAGTTTTATAATTACTATTTATTGTAAATTTATCAGAAAAGCTCAATATTTTTTTGCATTTTTATGGTAATAGATAACTTAAATAGAAGTAATAGTAATAATTTCCTAGGAACTTTTGTTGTTTGTTGAAAAGATTCTATAATTGAAATATTGAGAACTTAATTAATTTTAATGATTTACTTTAACTAAATGTACCAATCAAAACAAAGTTGTTAAAAAGATTTACTCAATTGAGTGTATTATAAAATTTGATTATATTTGTAAAAATCAATTGTTAATTCAGGAGAAAAAACAATCATTTTTTTTAGAAATGATTTATATAGCAACATGTTACAAAAAAAAATTGTAATATTATAGTCTAGTAGTAGCACACACAAATAGAGTAAAAAAATTATTAAATTACAAAGTAAAATGATTTAATTTTGTAGTTGAAACCTATCATATCAAACTTCATTCGTTAATAAATATTTTGAAAACATTAGAAATTAATGATTTTAATTGTCTTTATGGAGACGATGTAATAACTAACTGTTTAATTGATAAATTAGAATTTTTTTTTCAATTTTTGAGAGTAATATCTTCAACTAGATACGAATTGTAGTAATTTGACGTATTGTTGAAAAAAGTAGGTCAAGTTAGAGCAGAGAAAATAAATGATAGTCACAAAAAAATATCTTCTCGGCTTTGCATCGAAGCGAAAACTTAAAATATAGTAAAATAATTTTAATACGAATAAGAAATTTCTTCTTGCAAGGGGCGACTAAAGTGATGGGATCCTTGATCTTTATTGAAGTTATTGAATCTAAATGTGATAAAAATCAAACGAGTTAAAATTTATACTAACTTAAAAAGAATTAAGAAAAAATGCAAAAAATTCATTGCCATATGCGGGTTGGAACCTCGTACCCCAAGCGTGTAAAACATAAATTTTACCAACTCGGCAACCGTACGTTGCTTCCGGCGGTTGAAAAATTGGCTATTTAAGCTAGTTCAAATTTCAAAGTTATTTTTCTCGACTTAAAAGAAACAAACATATTTAAATAAGTTTAACTATCTATACTATATCAATTTTAATTTATATAATATTTATGAAAATCTGTACTCCCCTTGTCAGGTATTTTAAAATAAAATAAAATACAAAACCCAGAATTTTAACACAAAAATAGCATATTTTTGCATACGGTAGTCATTTTTACCATGAAGACAAATCCAGAGGTCAAATTTTTTTTTTTCACATTAAAGTATATTACATAAGCTTTAATTTAAGATATATTTAAAAGTGTCAGTATTTCCGGAATACTTTCAAAAATTAAATTGAAAATATCGTAGTAACAATACGCATGTTTAAAGTTTTGACCCCCCTTGTTAAAGGGGTATGATCCGATTTACAAAAAAAGCGTGCCAGATGAAAGGGGTATATCAATATTTATTATAAAAAAATAATAATATAGATCCATACATTTTTCCAAAAGTTATATAAAATATAAATTAAATAATATAACATATAAAATCGAGATTTTTTTCACGGAAATCGTACGTTTTTCTTTAACTTTGATGTCCGTTTTCACCACGAAGACAAGTCCAGAGGTCAAATTTTTTTTTTTCAAATTAAAGTATATTACATAAGCTTTAATTTAAGATATATATAAAAGTGTCAGTCTTTCCGGAACATTTTCAAAAGTTAAGTTGAAAAAGTTCTACTTTCTATACGCATTTTAAAAGGTTTGCACCCCCCCTGTATAAAGGGAAATGGTCCGATTTTAAAAAAAAGTATGTCGAATGAAAGAAGTATATATAAAGTATTTATCATTAAAGAATAAAGTTGATTCATGCATTTTTTAAAAAGTTATAGCAACATAATGTTAAAAAATGTAAAATATAATATCAAGAATTTTTTCACAAAAATAGCATATTTTTGCATACGGTAGTCATTTTCACCATGAAGACAAGTCCAGAGGTCAAATTTTTTTTTTTCAAATTAAAGTATATTACATTAGCTTTAATTTAAGGTATATATAAAATTGTCAGTCTTTCCGGAACATTTTCAAAAGTTAAGTTGAAAAAGTTAATTTTTTGTAAAAAAGTTACCATTTTGAAACCCCATCCTTTGGGCTGTTAAAGGGTCAAATGTTCACAAAAATATATAAAATGATAGGTAATTATCTAAGGTATCTATAAAAAAAAAAATTATATTGATTCGGTCATTTTTAAAAAAGTTATGGCAATTTTAAGTAAAAAAAATTGAAAAAATATCGAAAATTAGCGATTTTTAAATTTGTAATTTTTTGGGGGATTTCCCCCGTTTACGGGGAACGAGGGAATTTTTTTCAATTTTTGAGGGTAATGTCTTCGACTAGATACGATTTGTGATCTTTTGACATATTGTTCATCAAAATCGGTCCAGCGAGAGCTGAGATTGAGCGTTCACAGACACAAAAAAAAAAATAAAAAAAAAAAAAAAAAAAAAAAAAAACACATCATAGTAAAATTAATACCTTCTCAGCTTCGCATCGAAGCTAAAAAAAAAAAAACACATCATAGTAAAATTAATACCTTCTCAGCTTCGCATCGAAGCTAAAAATTTATTTTTGATATATTATAAAATATAAAAAAATACCAAAGCTTTTTTGTTATTAAACTATATAATTATATAATTAAACCACTTGAGTAATCACTTGATATTTTATATTTTTATTTTAAAATATAACTTTAACAAAAAATAATACTAAAATAAAATAGTAAAATACCTTTGACATTAACTGATAATCCTGGGACATTTTATAAAGCTGCTATTACTTAGAATATTTGATACACAAGTTTTTTTGTTTTCTTAATATAATATTGCAAGAGTACCACAACTAGGTATTCATACTAATTATAGTATTTGTAGCATATTTTATAATGTCTGTGCATTATAAGTTTGTGGCAATTCCTGCAATCTATATAAAGATATTAAATTTGTTAATAGCTCTTTTTAATTTTTGTAAAATACAATCGTAACTTATTAATTCCTGCCTTTACACCAATTATTATAAAATTAATTCAAACTGATAACAATTTAAATTAATGTACTCTAGCAAATTAATTCGAAACAATTTTTTAGCTTCAATGTTATTTTGAAATTTTTTTCCCTTTTATTTGAAATACATTTTAAGTTAAAGTTTATGCTAAGTATAAGCTATAAGTTACTGTAAGACACCTGGTTTTCTAGGTGTAAATAGGTCCCAAAGTTAAACAAAAAATATTGTTTTGGTATAAAAAATCACCATTTATTGTGTTGTTATAATTTCCTACTTCAATTTTTTTTTTTTTTTTGTAATTTAATAATTTAAAAACAAACAATATAGTTCTTTAGAGCAGGGCTTCCCAAACTTTTTTTTGCTGTGCCGCCCTTGGGGATGGGCCATTTTTTTGCGACGCCCCCAGTGATGAAAACTGCCTACCATGCCTAGTTGTAGTTCTAGACAAGTAACAAGTTATCAGAAAAAACTCCGAATACATTTTATATTTTTTTATTAATAACAAAATAAAAACATAGCCGAAACTAATGGGACGGATGTGCTTGCTTTTCTGAGCATAGCTTTTCAAAACGGGGCTCAAGATTGGAAATAGCTACTCGCATTTCTTTCTCGACATTAATTTTCGATCTGTACTTATTTTTAATTACTGCAACTGCAGAAAAGCCTGTTTCGCACAAGTACGATGTCGCAAAGGGTAGCAGAACCTTCAATGCCGCAGTGCTGATGGCACGATATTCATGAGAAACTGAGCTCCAGAATTCGAGCAGTTTGTCTTTGTCGTATTGGAGCTTAAGACTGGAGTCACAGGACAGTTCAATCAGTTGTTCTTCCTCCGCTGTGGAAAGTGTTGATGGTGGTGTCGACTGAAAAGGGTTCCTAACCCAGTCATATTGCTCCAGATTTTCAGGAAAATATTTGGCAAAATGTTCATTTAATGATGACAAGTGCTGTGTAAATATTATTTTTATGGAGGGATCGAGGGTCTCTATCGATTTTTCATGTAGAATGCCTTGTAAAGCAGGGAAACAGTCAGTATTTACTTGACCTTCTTCTAATTTTCTCTTCCATAACAGCAACTTCTTTCGAAATCCAGTAATTTTATCTGCCAGTTGCAGTATGTGAGTATTGTTTCCCTGCAAGGACTTATTAAGCTCATTTAATTTTTGAAAAATGTCGCAGAGATATGCCAATTTTATTAGAAAATCAGTATTAATAAAACTTTGTGCATCATTGTGTGATTCGGTCTGTAGATAAGTGTAAAACTCATTTCGTAGTTCGTGCACACGTGCGAGTACATTGCCTTTGGACAACCAGCGAGAGTTGCAATAATAAATTAAAGAGGTGTGCTGGGCACCCAATTCTTCACAAAGCTTATGAAAAAACCTTGCTTTCACAGGTCGTGTTTTAATGTAGTTCACCACTTTGATAACTATGTCCATCACAGCACTTAATTCAGGTGAAATGTTCTTTGCAGCCAAGGCCTCTCTGTGTATGACGCAATGTGTCCATTTTACATTTGGAGCCTTGGTTTTGATGAGAGCTTGTAGTCCTCCATACTGTCCAGACATCGCTCGAGCACCATCCGTACACACACCCACACAGTTCTCCCATTTAATATTATTTTCGGCCATGTAAGAATCCAAAATCTTAAATAGATCAATAGCCTTACCACTATCATATATTTTTCTGCAAAATAACAAATCCTCACATACATTTATTTCTTGTATGTACCGCACGTAACATATCAATTGAGCATCGTCATTACTATCGGTCGCCTCATCCAGTTGAATGGCAAATGAACATGAAAGTTTTTCCACAATTTGCTCATTAATATCTTCTGCCATGTCATGAATACGGCGGCTAATAGTATTGTTTGAAAGCGGTATATTTTTTATTTCTTTAGCCGCCGATTCTCCAATCATCACTGACACCATATCAACCGCAGCAGGTAAAATCAGTTCCTCAGCAATCGTGTGAGGTTTCTTACACTTGGCGACACGGTGAGCTACCTTGTAGGAGGCGAGCAATGCTTTGGAAGGAACTGACGCTCTTGAAAGCAAAGCCGTGGACTGATGTTTCAGGTCTCGCAATTTTCTAACAAAAAAGTCTTTCGGCTTACCTTGCAAATGACTGTGAGTTGTTTCCAAATGACGTTTTAGTTTATTAGGAAGCATACTTTCAGCTGCCAACACTTTATGACAAACAACACATTGAGGAAGTTCTTCATTTCCTTTAGTAATGTATGTAAACCCAAAATCTAAATATTGGTCGTCATATTTTCTATATTTCTTTCGTTTATCTGTTGTTTCTTTACTGCTTTCTCCTGAGCTTTCATTTCGTTTTCTATCTCTCTGAATATAATTATCCATAATGATAGGTACTCAATATCAAACGTCCGCGTGCGTAATTAAACAAAACAAAACCTCGACTGAACGAACGACATGAACGCACGGGGAATGGAGAACGGGCGGGGGATGTCAACGGCCAGCCCCGCGCGCCGAACGTCGACACCGACAGACTACGCGCGGCGCTCACTGGAGATGGTCGCGTCGATACAAACTACCAAATGCGGTTCGCCTCGCGACGCCCTTGGGTTAGTGCCGCGACGCCCCAGGGCGTCGCGACGCACAGTTAGGGAAGCCCTGCTTTAGAGGAAGGGAGTAAGTACCCAAATTAACCCCCTTTTACAAACAAATTATAGTAAGGGTTTAAATGTTAGTTATAAATATTCTCTGGGAGAATTTTTGCAATTTTTAATGTCAATCCAATATCTATATAAATTGTAAAAGGGCTGATCTTCCCAATAAAAAAATTTTTAACTACCAATGGATTATGATAAATTGAGATAACAAAATACAACATAAATCTTTTAAAAGCCTCTTAAAATAATAATTATGTAAAAAAATCCGTTTTGTTATTTTCAACTTCATTTTATTCTCGATTTATTAATTATTAAATACTTTTTTTTTAATTCAACCTTATTCTTTATAAAGGTTTCAACTTCATTTTTTTTAAAAAGCAATATACATATTTAACTAGCTTAAAAAATAAAAAATGATCTAATTAAGAGAAGGACTGTCAATAACAGCATTTAGACCAGTATTTCGGAAGTTATTAACAATTTAAAGTAATAACTGAAGGTGAAGAGTGATGCTATTTTTATAACTAAACATTTCCTAGTCGTACTTTTTCTCTCACGTTAATATAAATAAGATAATAATTTCCAAAGTACTGATCCAAAAGTTGTTATCGATGGTAATTTTCATAATATCATTATCTATTAAATAAGCTAATTAATTAGAGTTGTTGCCGTTTGATAAGTTAAAGTTTATCTTGTATAAGGGATGAATATAATAGAAATTTATTGACAATTGAAATAAAAAAAATATTAATGTTATTTATATTTTTCGATTAATTAAGCGGTTTATGATTAGTGAATCATTCTGTGTATATTTATAATTATGTTTTGTAGTACTATAATTGGTGTCAAAATTATTTCTTCGTCAATAAATTTTAACCAGCATTTTAATTGCCTAAAGGTAAGTACTATGTAAATTTTAAAAATATTCGTTCAGTCACTTTTGTGTGATAAGATGATTAAGTAGGCTATTTTCAACAAACCATGCGTATTCAAGATCGTAAAACGATACAAAAAATAATTTTATTAAAACATTTTAGCTTCGATGCGAAGCGGAAAATTTTACTATGATGTGTTTTTTTTTTTTTTTTTTCTGTTGCCACTTTTTCTCAGCTCTCACTGGACCAATTTCTTTCAAAAATNTTTTTTTTTATGTCTGTTGCCACTTTTTCTCAGCTCTCACTGGACCAATTTCTTTCAAAAATACGTCAAAAGATCACAAATCGTATCTAGTTGAAGACATTACCCTTAAAAATTTAAAAACATTCCCTCGTTCCCCGCAAATGGGAGAAATATCCAAAAAAATTACAAATTTAAAAATAGGTAAATTTTGTCATTTTTTTCACTTCTATTTCTTAAAACTTCCATAACTTTTTCAAAAATCAACAAATCAACATAATTTTTTTTAAAACTAAAACCTTAGATATTTTCCTTTCATTTCATATAATTTTTTTTAAAATTTAACACAACCTGCTCATGGGGGTGGATTTAAAATTGCAACATTTTTACAAAAACTAATTTTTGAAAATGTTCCGGAAATACTGCGTCCTTTAAACATATATCAAATTAAAGCTTATTTTATGTACTATAAAATAAAAAAAAAAATTTGTCCCGACACTTTATCTTCTACATTTAAACGGCTGCCTGCCGTAGTTAAAAAAACACTATTTTTGTGTTAAAATTTTCGATTTTAAATTTTCAACTTAAAAATGCTATAACTTTTTGAAAAATGTATGTATCAGCACAATTTTTTTTTTATAAATACATTATAAGTATATATTTCATTTGACATACTTTTTATTAAAATTGGACAATTTCCCCTTATATAGGGGGCGTTCAAAACTTAAAATATTGTAAAAAACATAGATCTTTTTCAACTGAACTTTTGAAAATGTTCCGGAAATACTGCGTCCTTTAAACATATATCAAATCAAAGGTTATGTTATATACTATCAAATAAAAAAAAAATTTGTCCCGACGAACTATCTTCTATGCGCAAATCGCTACCATATTCAAAAATATGCTATTTTAACAATTTTTTTTTTTTTAATTAAACACTATCTACAGATTTGCATCGAAGCGTTTTTTATGATAGTGATTTTAATCACTGTCAGATATCATCTATACTGGACCCAACTATGCCACGACCCCACTGTGCCGCCACCCCACTGTGCTTAATGTTTTTTATTGTTATTTTTTTACCTTCAAATTTTGCTATTAAAATACTACAAAATTAAAAAAATCAAAATTTCGATTTAAAAAAAATTTAAAATTCATAAATTTAAAAATGAAACTGAAGTACTATTTAATATGAGAAAAACAGTGCTAGTTTCACAGTGATAGCTTATTGGGATGTGAAGTTACAGGCTTTAGAACGTAAGTTGTTTTTTCATGTTTTTAATTATAAAAACTGTGCTATATGATAAAAAAAAAAATATTATTTTTATGATTTCACGTGGAATGACTCAATATAGAATACAAAATAATATGATAAGGGTAGGTAATTTTTCTACGCGAGTTGCATCCCGAAGTCTTCATGCTAATATTGACTAATATCCCGAGATTCTTTATAGTGTGAAGATCTTAAAATAATAATATCTTTATTACGGAAATAACTTCATTTACAATTTATATATAAATAAATATGACAACAGTTGAGAACACGTAACAATCAAATCACAAATTAATACAAGTAAATATATATCATAGATTATAAATTATTAATTTTTATTATTCAATGTATAATGATCTAAATTTATCAATATTACTACAAACGAAAAAATCCGCACCAACCCTATTACCCGCCAACATTCAAACATTATTGGGAGAACATTCTAATATTTTTTTTTTTTTAATATTTTTTACGTAGAATAAATCTTTAATTCGGGTGCTAATTTTAGGTATTTTAAATTGTAAACGCTCAAGAAGGAATGAGCAATCAATGTCACCATTAATAAGTTTATATAAAAAGACTAAATTTTGGCAGTTCCTTCTATAATGTAAAGTATTAATATTAAAAACCCTAAATTAATAATTCTGGTTCCATCGCAACCAGAATGGGGTATCCTTTCAACCCTACATTTAAATGATTAATATATTAGAAAATTATTTTGTATTGAATCTAAGTCATGCATTTGAGTAAAAGAATTATTAAACCAAACAAGTGAAGCGTATTCAAGGCGAGATCTTACTAATGAAAATTAAACTGCCATAAGGGAATCTGCGCAAAAGAATTCGTGGCAACTTCTTTTTATGAAGTGTAAATTAGATGTAGCCTTTATTTTTATCTCATTTATGTGTGCATTAAAAGTTAGTTTCGTATTAAATGTAACTCCCAGATCTTTTACATTATCTACTCTTTGAAGAAGACGATTGTTTAAAAAGTATTCATGCAATATGGGTTTTTTTTTTTTTTTAGTGTAAAGTATAAGATTGAGCATTTATTTAAATTGAGAGTCGTACCATTATCGTTACACCACTTGACGAAATTATGAATATCAGTTTAAAAGCAAATAGCATTGGAAATAGAGTTAATAGGCTTAAATAGTTTCGCATCATCTGCTAAGAATAGTATTTTTTAGTATTTCAATACATTTATAATGTCATTTATGTATATAAGAAACAAGAGAGGTGATAAATGATCACCTTGAGGAACACTTGATGTCACTCTAATAACATTAGACAGGAAATTTTATAATCTGTATTCTATTAGTAAGAAATGGATTAAACCAAGATAATAGAGAATTTAGAATACCAATCAATTCTAGTCTACGTACCAGTAATGTGTGGTTTATTTTCTCGAATGCTTTTTCAAAGTCAGTATAGACAGCATCTAGTTGAGAATTAGATTCAAAAGAGTCTATAATAGTTTGCTTAAAAACCGTAAGATTTGTAACAGTTAATCTTCCATTACGAAATCCATGTTGTTCGTTTACAAAAACATTTTTGAATATTGGAGTAATTATTTTCGCAATTAATGAAATTTTTGATATAGGTCTATATTTATTAATTTGTTGCCGATTACCTTTCATAAATATGGGATTGATAAAAGATGATTTTAAAATATCCGGAAATATGCCACATTTTAATGAACTATTAAATAAAAGTAGTAAAATAAGTGAAAGAACAAATAAACAATTTATTAAAAATAAAGCATCTATACTATCAGGTCCAGGACTACCATTTAATAAATTTAATTCATTAAATATATCAGATAAACTAATTTCAATTTGATTTAGGATAGACAATAGTTGGTGACAGTTTGATGTGTTATGAAACGTTTCTACGTTTGTTCTCTTTAAATATGAAAAATATAACACAAATTTTCGACTAATCGTTTGTTCTGATTTATTTTTATATTAAGATGAATATATACATATATTAATAAACTAACTACTATATCAGTCTTATTTTAGAAACTATTTAATTTGGGGTGAAGTAGAAGTATAACCCTCTGGATCACGGTTGGTAACGAGTAGTTACGAACACCGTTGCAAAAGGTTAAAGGGATTTTTACAAAAAGATAGTTATCTCGATCACGGTTGATAACACGGAGGTTATGATCACCGTTGAAGATGAACTGTATTGTATAAGTGGTGGATTCTAACCCTTTGGATCACGGTTGGTAAAATGTTTATTACGAGCACCGTTGCAAAGGATTAAAGAGGAATATCTAGGAAAGACTAGCAATCTTGATCACGGTTGAAAACACGATGGTTATAATCACCGTTGAAGATTATGACTAGCCTTTAAAGAAAAGAATATATAATTTTGATCACGTTTGGTAACGTTTAGTTACGAACACCGTTGAAAATTATATATGTAATAAGGAAAAAATAAAGAAAACTTACTCGATGGAATAAATGATATAATGAATTATTATATGAAGACTAGTTGGCAATGAACACTGCAAACACTTGTAAATCGAAGAACTACAAAAACTATTAGAATTTTATTAAAATAATTATAAAAGTAGCGACAGTGCACTTTATGCTACCCGTCACCACCGGAGTAGTGTAGAACACAATTGCCCACATATTATTTATTTTTAAAAAACCCTCAAAAAACAAAAAGATATTCTAATTTCCTATTTTCGAGTTCTCGTTAAGACTGGTATATAAAATAATCATTACAATATAATAAAAAATAATAATAATAAAAAAATAATAAATAAATACTTTAATTTACATATTTAAATAAGGGTTGTCAAACAGCGCTGTCCAGCGGACTTTCTTGCAACTGTCAACCAATGATAAAGCCGTAGCGTAACGCTACAGTTAGGAGAAAGATTATTTCGAGATGTATATACTGGAAAAGTATTTACCAAATGAATTAATGATATCTTGACCGTTATTAGCAGATATATCATATAAACACATAAAATTAGTTAAATCGTGATTTAGGTTTTTCTGTTTAAAAAACTTACAAAATTCTTTCGGATTTATTTTAATAGAATTTTGACAATTATTTATGAAGTTTAAGAAATCTCTTTCTCTTGCTTTTTTACATTGAAAACGCAATTTTGAAAAGATAGTAAAATCAGTAGGTAATTTTGAGTTTTTATAAATGTTATGGGCATGTTTTTTAGAATATAGACATCGAAATTTAAGTACGGTATTTGCGAATTTAATGATGAAGTTTGTTGTTTACACTGCGTATATTTTGGTAATAGATGTTGAGAGACAATGGAATTAATTTTATGCGTTTTTTGTCGAAAAAACTAATTTTGGTTTATTTTTTATTTACTTAATTATAATATTACTTTCTCTATTCTCTCTACGTTGACTGAGCTCTTTTCTTAAGTTTGACATTTGTTCTTTTTGAAAAGCAGTTCGATTAAACGAAAATTTTAGTTCTTTAAACTTTGGGTGTATTTTTCACTTCGATTGAGAACGAAGTAAAGTAAAAACTTCTCCAGGGTTTGGGAGAGTTAATTTTAGTGGACGGCATTTATCTGATGGTCTTCCCAAACGTAAATAGTTTATTGGAAGTGCGTTTAAGCCCATTGTGTTCATAATTTCGCTAATTATGTTACTCCCTTCAGTTTTAAATTCTGATTTTTCATGAAGATTAAATAAGATTACGTTATATGATCTAGAATTATCTACGACCAGTATCAATATGTCAATTGTGAAGCCACTTAAGTATAAATATTGTAACAAAGCAAAAAAAAATACCGTTAGCTGATTGAAGACTTCACCGTTCGTCAAATAAAATTTAATTTTGGTGCTAAACAGTATAGCGAAGGGGCCAACAATGCCGCCACCGACCCACAAAGACGATAAAAATACATTTCCGTCGGTGTGCAATGTGAAATTTACTATAACCATGGTAATATATTTTGATTTTAACAATTGTTATTGAAGTAATACAGTTGAGAGTATAAAATAAATAATATAAATATGATCTTGTTTATTTATAAATAGATAAAAATAAAGGATGGGTAGGTTCTTAATTATTTGGAGCAGAGCAAAAAAAACTCTTTTGGCCTTTAGAACTGCGCGCTCAACATTATTCAAAATACTATTTGCCTTTAACGACAACCTATTAACAACGTGAGTACGTATGTATTTAAACGTTATGTACATTTCTCACAAAAAAAAAAAAAATTACAGATATTCCCTATTCTAAATAAAACACATTTACAAGAAAAACAGTTATATTATTAAGAAATTCAACTCATAACGCTAATAAAGGCAAAAAGTTTAGTTAGACATTTCAAACATTTTGTTCAAATTGCGCTTATAATTATCATAAATTTGACATTAAATCAAATGAAGAGTTTGCTACAAAAAGGAAATCGCTCTATATATTCTTATTCTATGAAAATCGTTAGCAAAGTTTTATATTTCTATTATAGAAATTGTGTTAACAGGTAATTAATAAAATTAATTTACTCAAAAGTAAAGTTACCTCTTTTTTGTAACAAACTCTTCAAATATCCAAATTCTATTTTAAAATGTTTTTACAGCACCGTACTGTTCTACTATGAATAGTCGGATCGACCTTGAGAATAAGCTCAACTCCTATGAATAACTTATCAGTTTGTTTAATAAACAAATATAGATATTGTATATATAGACTATACATGAATATTTAAGTATATGGTTGTCTCACTTGAATTTCAGTGCAGCCGTTTAACTGTGTTATCATGAATTCGATGGGGTTAATGGATAACATGTATCACAAGTGGCTCATAATAACAAGTTAATTAAAGCTTATTGAATTAAGCTGTTGTATTGAAAGAATTATAAGTAATTTATTAGTTTTTAAGCATAGATTCCTTACTTTAATTATTAAAAATAATGACAAAAATATAAAATGCAGTAGTTAATTTAAAATGTCAGATTTTAATTATTTAAACTTATACTTTATTTTCTCATAAATCCTGTCTGTGATTTCAATGTTATAGATGTAAGTATATCAACTTGTAATAAGTATTATGCTTTCATTATAACCACTGAGGATTAATAAGTAACTTATTAACAAATAGTATAAATATATTTATAAAATTGTTTTTTTTCTTGGAGAATTAAAACTTTCTTTTTAAATCAACACATACAAAAACAAAAGAATAGTACTACATCATATTAACTTAATACATTTTTATGTAACTAATTCACTTTTAAATTTTATATAGTATTAGGTGATATTATTTTCCATTCACTATGTTTAATAATAGTTATACAATTTGCTATAGATTTACATAATTATAGGTTAAAATTTTTCGAAAGAGATCAGTGTATCTATGTAAAAAATTTTAAAAAGTTCCTCTTTTCCACATTGGATGACAGGAGAGATAAAATGGTTAATTTCTGTCTAATACATACAAATTCCATCTTATAATAATCCTATTACCCAAGGATTATGACATCTCTTTTTTTCATAATAAATGATCTTTTTATATTTCTGGGCACACAACTGCTTATGATCATAATCTTCTTCTGCATCATATGTCCCTTATAGCTAGTCAGTGGATTTCTTAAAATTCTCACTTCACAAGTAGTTAAAGTTTACATTGATTAGTATGATCCTTGTGGTATTTTATTATTATTATTAATATTTTCTTTAAATTTGGTGTTTTTATTTGTGCACTTTTTTATCTATTTTTTTTCTCATCCAGTTTTAATTGTTTACGTGTCATATTATATTTTAGCGTTCTTATTTAATCATACTCACACAATTTTCTAAATATATATATGTCTTTACATTGTTTATAAATATGTATTAATATATAAAAAAAATGGTTTGAAGTTGTTTTAAATAAATATTAAATAAATACATTTCATCATCACTTCTCTGGTTACATCATTGAAGTACATATTTTTGTATGAGAATGCATTAAGTATTTCTAAAATTAGTTGAATGATCGTGTACATTAGGTGATTTCAATGAAATCCATTTTAGCATTTCTCTTTCCTGAATTATTTTTATAATATACACCCAATTCATTGAAAGGTCTACTATTTTTCTCTTGAAAATTTTATTGTAGTATAGTTATTTTATGTACTATTAAAATTAAAAATATATAATACCACGTTTATTTTGATCAAATTTAAACAATTTTTTAAATTTAAATCCCATTTGTATTTATTAATTAATTTTTTTTAAATTGTATTACTGTACAGTATTTAAATCCTCTTTTTTTCTCGCTTTTACACCAACTTTTAGGGGTACCCTTATCCTAAACTTCCACTTGACACAATCTCTCACATCATCTACACTCACATCAGTCGTCCTCATATCACATTTACATATATCTCTCCATCTCTTTTTTGATCTTCCTCTACCTCTTCTTCCTTCAACATTTATTTCTATAACTGTTCATACAGTTTTCGATTCCTCTCTTTTCATTATATGACCAAACTATCTAAGTCTATTTTCTCTCACTTATCTACAATTGACGCTAAACTTATACTCTTCTCTTTTATATATTATTATTATTTTCGTACTATAACTCATAAGCTTAATGATTCTATAATTTCCACACTCCTGTATGTTTCCTTTATCTTTAAATATCGGCACCACAATATTATTTCTCCCTTCATTTGGAATTTTCCCTTCTAATAAGATTTTATTTAAAAGATCCTTCAACTACCTTATGCCAACACCGCCTAATATTTTTCATACTTCTACTGGCACTTCATCTAATTATAATTTGGTCACTTTTCCTAACTTGTTCTACCATTTTATTTTTCATCTCCTCATCTATATTTATCTCTACACAATTCTTTTTATTAGACTTACCTGAGTATATTATTTTATAACCCTCATCTATTTCTCTTGCTTTCTCTCATTTTCACTTAGTTTCCTACACACAACAAATGTTAACTTTTTATTCTTTTTAATACTTTTATTAATTCTCAACTTCTACCAGTTAATATTCCAACATTTCACGTACCTATTCTTACTTTATATCTATTTTTCTCCTTTATACACGAGTCCGGCCTAGAGTTAAGTGATGATGTACCTACAAGCGCTGGGTAAACCTGTACACAGTACTGGTGAAAGAGCTTCTGCACAAGTTATCCGGTTGGTATCAAACACTTTATTCCTTAGGCCTTCTTCCTTTTTAACTACTTTGTTTCCTCTCATCCGTTGTCCCCGCATACATTCGTGATGGGACAATCCGTCTAAGTTTTGTTCAAGCCTAGTCATACTTTTTGACAAAATTTTACGCCTGACGCAACCACATTAGTAACCTCTTATGACTGGCAAAGGTGTCATGAAAGTATTCTTATCTCCTATCCACAAGGATAATAATAATAATAAATAATTTAAATACTATTATCAGTATTTAAATAAAGTAAATAATTACTAAATAAATTCTTACAGTAAAAATGATAATTAAAAGTTAAATTATTATACAGAATATCTATGATTGTTATTAAATTTCAAAACTATGCATTTATAAAATTTGTGAACATTTATTATATGTATGATGAAAAGTGAAACATATCTAATTGACTAGTTATACCTTATAACTTTTGATAAAATTAACTTTTCAATATAATTTTTGTAAGAAAATGATTAATGGGTTATAATAACAATTATAGACATTGTATGTTGAGAAAGCGGATGGGTACAGCTAGTACTGGTATATATTTATAATGAATATTCTGCTCTATGTATTAAAATACTTGTAACTCAATACAGTGGTTGTTAAAATGAAGGGGACTTGGGAATAGATTCCTCATTGACATTTCTTGTATGATTTTCATATATAGTATATTTTGGAAACTTAATAAAGAATAAGTTATTGAACATAACTAATATGAAAAAAATAATGAATCATACAAATATGGAAGATTAAATTTTATGACTTGTTTATTATTTGTATCTAGGTAAATTCATAGGGGTGCTATTCTAAAATAAATTAAGTAGTCCAATGATAACATCTTGATATAGTAATACAAATAAAATTCTCTGATATGAGAACAGAGCTCCCATTAAGATTTTTATCAAAAAGGTTTTTTATCACTTCCTATAACAAAATCATTTAATTGCCACTGGCTCAATAAGTGTTTATTCTAAAATGATTGATACGACTAGAAATTTGAGTCTATATTAGCTGAAGTTACACTATTTGTTGAGACCTATTTAATGTTGTACAAAGATTAAATATTTATTGTTAATTAATAAAAGTACTTTATTTGTTTTTTTTACAAATGTGTTTTTGTCTGATTTTTGTATAGCAAAAAACTTAAAAAAATATACATATTTTTTTAGAGAAAAATAGGCAACCTAGACAAATGTTGTTTCATACTACAAAAAAGGCAAATTGAAAATTTTGTATTGAATAATTTTGCATGTTTGGTTTTCATTACTTTTTAAGGAATATTTGATATATTTAATGGTTTATACTATTTTTTGCAATTTTTTTTCTAAAATCACATTTATTAACTAATATGTGTGTATACGTTGTGCTCATTTAGTTATTTTTTAGAGCTTTAAGCTTTCTATCTTATTTGATTTCAATTATCTCAATTGGATAAATTAATCATGACTCTGGTTTTAAGTTATATGTTTAATGAATAACATTGTCTAAAATTGTTATTGACTCATTAATCATTTTTGTAAGTAAAGTGTTAAAAATTGGCTATTTTAACATTTAAAAAAAATTATTTATTTTATTATTAAAAACAAAATAATAAAAAATATAATTTTAACATAGTCTATGAATGTATAATTTTTTAAATTACTACAAAACGTATTGAGAAAAGGACAGAAGAAAACGCTATNTAAACATTGAAATACGTATTGAGAAAAGGACAGAAGAAAACGCTATATTTTCATGATTACTGTGTATACATATGATGATAATGTGTATACATTACAAACACGGCATTAATACCATGATAAGAAATTAGATAAGGCAATTATTACTTATCATTCTCATTCAAAAGTATATTGAAAAGATAGCGTTTTCTTCTGTCCTATTCTCAATACGTATTTCAATGTTTAATACCGTAAAATAATACATGAAAATTCAAATTTTCACAAACTTCAAAACGCTACAGAATATTTACTACTGAATATTAATAAGATATTTTTTTACTAAAATTTTTCTTAAATTCTACTCTACAAAATAGCTATCTTAGATTTTTTTTTTACATTTTATTTAAAATTTAAAAATAAATAATATTTTTAATAAAATTTAAAAAAATTAATTATTGAGATATAGCTATAGACCTAACGTATAACTATTATTAAAAAAAAAAAATCAGCTAAAAATATTAACTGGATCAAAAGTTATTTAAGTTGTCAGTGAGTGGTGGACCACCTGTATATATAATAGTGTTAAGCAAAATAAACATGATACCTATATCATTGATATACTCATGGCGACATAAATAAACTTAATAAATACTTAAAGCTCTGAGCCCTATTTATAAGATGTTATGTTATTTGTTTAATTAATTAATTAAATAATACTATTTATGAATACTTGATTTTCATTTAAAAAAATATCATTTGAAATTTTTTTTCAAGCAAACAGCATAATGTTGAGTAATATCTGTCTAATTTAGTTTCAAACTACATGAAAATTAATATCACAAACTTTAAAAAATTATTTTACCATAACTTAAACATGTTTTTCTTTTTACAATAATTTTTAGAAAAATAATGAGTGGTGTGCAGTTTAGAGAAATTCACAAAAATTCCTGGTTGAGAAAACTACCAACAGGTGTAGATAAAAAATCTGCTTTGAAACTAACTGGTGGACAAAAATTGTGGACAGTGTTTTGTATTCATGATGATACAGAACCAGTTTTAGAATTTTATGTAGATCAGAAAAAAGCAGTAGCTCATCGTCCAGATAATACAGTACCTTTATCTGATACCGTCCATGTTTCTGCCACTATATGTCCTTTACCTGTTAATGCAGGTGATCAACAACAACAATACCAATATGAGTTTGTTGTAACATTATCTTCAGAAATAGTCCGTTTGGCTGCTCCATCTTGGTTAGTAAATGTTTTACTTTATCTGTTTAATAATGGTGATGATAATTAAAGTTAATTATTTATTTAGGAATCAGATGATGGATTGGGTACAAGGTTTAGATATGAAATTAAGAGAGATGCATATCTTATCTCCTAAGGAAAATGTTTATACAAAACCACCAGAATCTAAACCTCCACTTCTACCAACTAGAGATCCTAACTCACCTTTACCACCCCCACCACCTTTACGTGACTTACAAACTATTGTTTTACCAGGTGTTGAACCTGTTGTTGCAACTTCTCAACAATCAAGTACTTTAATATTATTAATTAAAGTTAGTGGATTTCATTTATTTAAACATTATATGTATTTTTTAGCCAGAAATGATGTATCAATAGAAATAGATCATACTATTTTGACACCACCTATTAGTCCAAATATAGTGTTAGTATAAAACTTTTGATAAATATTACTTATTTTAGATTTACAGAATTTATAAGTAATAATTATTGTTTTTATTGAAGTTTACTTTCTCTTTCATCGCATTACTCCAACATAACCATTCACTTCAAGTTACTCCATTTTTTTCAAAATTTGTAGTTCTGTTACAAAAAATTTACTTGATTCTCAGTATATTATTGTAATTATACCTGTATTCTCTTTCATAGGAAAATCCAGTTTTTTTATCTAAATCTGTTAAAAATTAAAGATGCCGTTTTAGTTACATATTACTATGCTAAGATATTACATAAAAAATTTGTGTAGTAGTTACCAAACAAATTCTTTAAAAAATTAAAAATTTCCAAGTTTTAAAGTAGAGCAAAAATTTTGTTATATAAAAAAAAACTCGAAATTGATTTTATATCATTATTATCCAAACTTTTATAAACATCATTTTAAATTTGCCTTTTTTTTCCATTTTTTTTTTTTTTTTTTTTTTTTTTGAGGGTAATGTCTTTAACTAGATAAGATTTGAAATCTTTTGACATATCATTGAAAGAAATATACTGGTGAGAATACATCATGGTAAAGTTAATACCTTCTCAGCTTTGTATCGAAGCTAAAAATTAAGTTGGGTGTATAGTCTAATTAAAAACAAGTAATTCTGTTTATGACTATAAGAATTTCTAGACTAAATATCATTTCAGACATAATTATATTACTATTTACTAATAAATCTATAAATTAGTAATTCTAGTAGACTGGAAAATAATGTTACCATCGTTGAAGTCCAGAACAATAGTCAAGTATTTGATTTTAATCAAATGGAACATGCCTTAATTCAACCAGAAGAACAAATGGAGATAGAAATAATTTCTCCTAGATCTGTTAGAATGCCCTTTACAACTGAGCAACCTAATTTACTTTTAAGACCAACTAGACTTAATCAGATGAATATTATTTCTGAAGAGACTCACAGTAATCTTATATCTAATAATCATCCAGAATCAAGTGATAGAAATACTAATGATGATATTTCACGAAGACTCTTGACTGAAGTTAATAGTGAAGAACAACATATTAAAATAAGATCTGTTGAACCTAATGAAAATAGATCAAGAAGAAGAATTAACAGATCAGAAGTTGCACTAGCTGGAGATCAAGAAATAACACCTAGCAATAACTATGAGCATCTAGTATTACCAATAACTGTTCAGCCTAGAATGGCAAGTTCTTCAAGTTTTATTCCTTCAGATATTGCTATTATGCCAACAAGATCCCAAGTAATTGAAGTTTATATATCTGATTAAAAAATTGTGCATGATAAATTTTTAAACTTATTATTTTAGCTTCCAATAGGAAGAGGACGTGGTGCAAGGCGAAAAATAAATAGTGAAAGTCAACATCCAATTGTAGGAGCAGATAGAATTAGAGTAGCTGTCAATACTACTCGAATGTTACAACCCGTACCAACACCTTACATTCCTATTGTATAATTTTAAATAGTTAAAATTATTAGATCTGTTACTTGATAAATTAAAATTTTTTTTTACTAGGCTGAAACTAGAGATTTATTGAGTCCTAGCCGTTTAACGGTACGTGAAAAACAAGTCTTACAATTACGCAGAGAAATGTCTCACCCCGCAGGTGTTCGACTACAACTAAGGCGAAAGGATTGTATAAATACAATTGCTTTTGTTGATGTATTTCAAACCGTATGGATTGCTGGTTGGAAACAAAAAGAACATCCAATGCTCCATAATGCTTTACATATCGGTGATCAATTACTTAGTGTTGCTGGAAAACCAGTAACATGTTCTACAGATGCCCATAAATCTATAAAAGCATGGCCTAGTCTTTATGTGAGCAAATATTTAATTATAGCTTGATGTATATTTGTAATAACTATTAACTTTAAATTATTTAGGTTGAACTGATTATAAGACGTGTTCCTTGTGGTAAAGTATTTGTTGTCAGAAGACAAGAACAAGGTCAAGATCTTGGTATCGTACAAGAAGGTGGTACTGCAGAAATTAAAGATATTATACCAAACAGTTTGGCTGCTGTTCATGGACTATCACCTCGTACTCCTACTGTAGATGGTTTATCATTAACAACTTGGACTTTAACTGAAATTAATTCACGACCATTGAATTTATTGTTTAAAGATACAGAAATTAGGGATCGACTAAATGCTGTTGGTCTAGATATTTCCTTGTTGGTACAACCAACAGATCTCATATCAGCACTTCGTAAACAACTAAAATCGTTAAGAGCCTTTAAAGATTTTTTGTTAACATAAATTTGATTTTGTTGGTAATGTTTTGTCAATTTTTACTATCACAATTTTATGTTCATTTTTTTAACAAATAATAAAATAATGCTATAAAATAAAATCTAGCTCCAAAAGAGTAAGTATTAAAATTTAACTAAACAAAAATAATATTCACTTAGTAGATTTTTGAATTTTAAACTCTCAGTTGTATTATCCCCAGTTCCCTTTTTATAAATGAACACATTTTTTCTTTATTTAAAATGTTTCAAATATAATTTAATATTACTTTATCAACTATGCTTATGCAAAAGACCTAAATAAAATGTAGACAATTTTATAGAAACATTAAATTTTAATAAAAAAGAATGTTTGTTTTATTTTGCAGAAATTTTTTATATTTATGTTAAAATTAAATTAATTTTCAGATCTTATTTTTTCTCGTGTTATTGTTTTCTTTTATATATATATATATTATGCCAAATTAAAAACAAATAATAACCAAAAATATATTATTATTATTATTAAATAATGCATTTTTTTAATTTTCATAAAATAAATTGAATAATAATAACCGTGTAATTCAAAAAACTTAAATTCAAGACATTGAGTAATAAATCATAAGGAAAAAAAAATCAAACTCAGTACCCAAATTATTTATTATTATATTTTTAAATTAAATATTAAATATTATAGTATACTTGAATAAATTACTTAGATGTAACATTATGTTAAAAATTATTAATCTTTTAAATTAATGTTTTTATTTTTCAGTAAAAGATTAGGGTCAATAGAAATACTAAAATAGTTATTTTAATAACACAATTTAAAATATTTATTTTTTTATGCAAGGTATCATCAACTTACTAAATATAACTAGAATAAATTTTTTAATCAGTATTTTAGATATTATGTTGAAACACTAATGTAAGTCCCTGTGATATATTAAGAAAAAAAATGATTTTAATTAATGATTATTAAATTTGATTTTGAATTTGATATTATAGAATTTTTTTGTGGAATACAAAAGTGATATTTTTATATTATTACTATTTAATTTTAAATAAAAATTAAAAACTACATGTAATATAATTATGATAATTGTGCAATATTTTGTTTTTTATGTTTTCATTGTAATAATTTGTTTAAAATTTATTATTTTTAGTGTTAACTACATTGTTAAAATAACAATAAATCTTGTTTTTTATTCATCAATACAATAGTACTATACAGGTTTTTCATCTCGATAATTAAATATCAGACCAGTAATAATTCTAATTCTATTAATTTTAAAAAAGGCGAATTTCATATAAATTAAAAAAAAATTTTTAGAATTTTATTTCATATAAAATTATCTAGAGAAATTTTTAAATAAAGTTCACTGAGAGCAATATTATATATATTATTATAACATAAATTAATAATAGGTTATATTCCATTATTTCCCTAAATATTGAGAATTATTATTTTTAAGGAAAAGACATTAAGTGTTATAATCTTGTTATAGTTTTTTAATAAATCCAGTGTCATAAATGTGTTGTTGATAAATTAATTAAAAAAAAATTATTTCATGAATAATGAAAATTCTTGCTTTTAGCCAACAATATAACAAAAAAATTAGTACCACATGAATAAAATTTGATGATTAATTTATCATTTTGATGCTAAAAAATGAATCCTCACTTTTTTTTAAATAAAAACTGAAAATTTATTCATTACTGAAAAAATAATAAAATATTACTTACTGGTTTTGCCATGTAGTAGACACGTCGTAGCCAGAATTTCATATTGGGGCAGCTATAGTAAAAATTCTATATTTTGGACCTTTTTTTTTATAGTTATTTTATTTTAGAATTGAATATTCCAATTAATGAGTGCTCTTTTAGATTACATTATTTTAATGTACAACTATTTATTTTTATTACAAATTTATCTACAATGTTATTTTGATATTATCTGTTAAGTTTCGTTCAACAAATAAATTGAATAATTAAAAATTTATTTGTTTTATAAAAAATTCCAGAAATTTTTAATAATTATTGATGAATCATCCTAAATTTTCAAATCATATCCTTACTGAGGATTTAAGTTGATAGATGAGTGTATTTAAATTAACAACTCGAAAGATATCAGTATTTTACGTTAAATAAAAAAAAAAGTGATTATCTACTACATTTCTTCTAAAAATGTTATCATCTTGAGTTTTTTAAATGGAAATATGTAATAAATATTTCCCTTTATTTTTAATTAACTTCCTAATTAGAAAATTATCTATCTAAGAAAATAACTGATTGATAATAACCTCTGGGTCAATATTTTAAAAGCTATTCACTCCTAAATATAAATTGTATATCTAATGATATTAATGAACCAGACTACTTCTTACGCCTTATTAGGAAAATGCTAATAGCAGTCCAAAAATTTTTATAAGCTGTCATTTTCTAGTTAATAAGTTATAGTTCCTTACCTACTAAATTAATGGCGTTTATAGACATAATTTAAGATACTCTTTAGATTATCTTTAATAGTGATTATAGCACTAAGTTTAAACATTAATAACAAGCTATAAAATTACGTTATCACTAGAGGAAAACAATATATGGAATCTGCAAAGCATTGCCTACAACACTATATAGGCCAGTCAACAAAGGATAAATGGCAGAAAAAATTCCCAACCAAATTTTTTTTTTTTTAAAGTTGAATTAAGATATGTATAATGACATACTAAAAGTCCTCATTGATTTGAATTGAGCTTTTTTTTTACAGCCTCGCAAAAGTTCAAAAATATGAGCTTTTTTAATTTTCTCAAAAAATATTTCACTTACAAAAAATAGTTTTGTACAAAATTTGTTTAAAAGACAATTTTAACAAATTTAATATTCAAAAATTTTATAATTTTAAAATAATATATTGTATTACTATATACACAATGTATTACTGTATAAAATATATTATATGTATGTATATATATAGTAAAATAGTTAACCTTTAGGTTTGTTTTATTTTATATTAGATGATAATTAGTAAACAATCCATTCATACATTTTGATTATAATTAATCTAAATTAATAACAATAGATAATTTTAAATAAAAATAATGATGTTAGCAATGTCAGCAATTTATTTACTGTAACTCAGTTTGATTTATTGTTGTACAATATTTATCAAAAAAATCCAATAAAAATATTTTATCATAATAAATTAATCACTAAGGTGTTATAGAATTTAGACAAGGAATATATAGTTAATATTGGTACAGAAAATTGTGAAATTGCAATAGTTGATATAACAAAAAATATTACTGTGGTTATAAAAACAATTAGTAATTTAAATTTAATTTCCATGAAATGGAATAAAAAAAATCATTGCCATAAGTACAACAGAAGGAGTAATACACATAAGTAGCATCCAATAAGATGGCATAAGATTGCCATGTTTTTTTTTTTACTGTTTTTATTTTGATTCCTAAAATGCTATATTTTGTTTTAACTTATTAATAAAAAACTGTGAAACTATCTAAGTAAATAAATTAAAAAAATCTTTTACAAATAAATGGAATGTAATTGAATAACAAAAAAACAATAGGATTTTATTGGTGTGATGCTTTATTATTGCCAGAATTCTTAAAAATATTATCTATTATTTTGTTAAATGTTATTTCGTGTTCAGGTATTAAGATTTGGCCAGACATAGCATCTAAAAAATAAACAGACATTAGTACTAGTAAATATATTTGTATACAGAGTGTTCAGTAAGTTAGGAAACAGTTAAATTGTTACAAACAATGAGTACAATAGAAATTCGTTTCCTTATTTACTGAACACCCTTTAGATTATACAAGGGTTCAAAAATTAAGGAAAAGGGTTCCCATTGTTCGTAACAATTGACTTGTTTTTCTTTATTTATTGAACATGTAATATATCTATACAACAGATGGACGGAGTGCAGGCAAAACATATTGTATAGAAGAGACTATTTCATAGAAGAGTGTGGGGATGTCATAACCCCCAAAGTTTATTAAAATCATAAGTCGGAATTTTTAGAATAAATTGTAGAATTTTGTACCAATGAAAATACTTTGTCTGCAAAATTCACTTCACACCCCCCTAAAATTTACTACTAGGATCGCTCCTGTATACAGGTTGTAGCATCATCTTCATCTCTTTTTATCCAATGATTTTTTAACTGCTTTTTAGAAAAGAATAAAAGTACTAGTTGTACTATGATATAACCAGTATTTTTTCACTGCAATAAATAGGAGTATATCTGTTTGGGATTTACACCAACAATATTCATATTGTTTGAAACATTATGACTTATTCAATGACAATATTTTAATCAACATATCGTGATCTGTACACACGACACCACAAAATTATTCAAGTAAATTTTTCTATGAAAAATGTAGTATAAAGTAAAAAGTTATTTTTTCTTTGTAGTTTCAAAATTAATCTTCCAGACTTAGTTCGATTTACTAACGCGCTATCAATATATCAACATATTAAATTTGCATTTTTATTTCAGTTTAATGTTCATACCAAGAAGTACTTTAAAAATGTGAAGCTTATGAAAAGCTTGTTTTGGATATTGGATATTTTAGACAACCTAAGTAAATAGATTTGTTTTTTGTTTAAGGGACACTACTGTGAATAGTTTTATTTATATCTTTGAATTACTTAGGTTACATGTAAGCCTGTCTCTCATAGATTAAAATGTGCCCTTTATTGGTTGATTTGTATAAAAATCTTGTTGATTTAATAGTATAAAGGTTACAAATAATTACAAAAATGATTCGGATGAAAATCTTGTTTAATGTAAAACCCTGTTAATTGTTTAACGGTGAAAACCTTAAACTTAATACTTTTCATTTATCTAAAATTTGAAGTATTGAAATATAATTCTCATTCAAATAGATGCAATTCTTTTTAACTTAAAATGTTTGATAAATTTAAATAGTTGTTATAAAGGCTAAGGATATGATGATAACGACAATGATGTATGATTAAAAATGTTCAACATTTTAAGCTCATGGAAAATCTTGAGATGTCCGTTAATAACTTAATAACAACATATATAACTATAGTACTTCATTAAAATACATAATTTTGTATTATAATTATTTTTTTTTTGTTTTTCAATCCGAAGATTGGTTTTTAACAAATGTTTTACAATAAATGGCTTCTCCATTTTTCTCTATCATTCGCCATAATCTTAAGCTCCCTGTAGGAAGTGACTCCTGCATCCTGCATTATTTGGCTAATGTACCGCTTTCTAGGTCTTCCTCTTGATCTTGTACCCTCTAACATTCCTTCAATTATTAAACTATAGAATTCATCTCCAGGCCTCAACGTGTGTCCTATCATCTGCCATCTCCTTCTCTTTATAATGCCAATAAGTGTTCGTTTTTTATCTTTTATCCTCGGGATTTCTTCATTTGATCTTTCATCAGT